AAAGCAAGTGCGGAGTAACGAATGGGCGTGACTTCATCCGCCAACAAAGTGTAAATCCCCGCGCCGGCAGAGGTCGCTGTAAACTGGCGCAGTGGGACAGCTCCGCACGGGGATATATAACCTTTTACACGTTGGAAAACAGTGCTGTTACTTATGTAAATAATCTCAATGTAAGGATTTTGACAAATTATGAAACATGCAACAAAAAGGACAGGAGATTAGTAGGTAAAACTGACGTCATATTATTCGATTTTTTCTTTTATTCTCAATTATAAAACAGAATGTCTTTATTTTATAAATCTACGAAATAATAGTTCCTGTCAGCGCCATCTGTGGACGTATTTCTTCAAATGTGCCTATAAATAATGCGATATTAAAGGACTCATAAGAGATTTTAGTTTCTCTTTCGCTAATTAGAATCTGCGCTAATCGTGCTTATATTTGACCTTTAAATTTTTTTTAAATGTTTATTACTCGCATTATATAAAAAGTTCTATAGTTTACGGTAAAAACTTAGTAAAGATCGAACAAATTACTCTGGACTCTGGAGATCATGCCACAATTTAGTTGTCACAGTACGTATTGATGACAGTATTTTTATTCAAGTTAATTTCTTCTAAATAGTGTATTAGAAAATGTAATATACGAATAAAATTTTCAAAGAGTACTTCTTAAGTACTCATCCATTCCGATGCATGATTGAACGTTCTTTTCGGCCAGGCGACGGCGGACGCGTTCTTTTGTTTTTAATACGTTATTCTGCGGCGTAAAGTAAAACCTTTTTTTACAAAATTTGAATAAATGTAACTGGCCATTTATGACCTATAACCTAAACAAGGAATAGAATCTTTACATATATTGTTGTTTATAAACACTTAACTAAAATTACTTGCAGATGTACACACAATTAAAGTCGAGTTACAGCCTTAGTGTGAAACGTCGGTGTTTTCCTGCATATAGGGAAAAGAGACACAAGTGACAATGTGACTGCGGTGCTTTGTGCTGACAGGCGTCACCACGGGTTAGATAATGAACTGGGTAAGTGGGCCATGGCGGTAAAGGGGTTATTGAATTTCCCATCATGGTAAGTAACGTTTCTCTTTACCATGATATAATACAAAGTTTAAATACTTTAAAAGGCAATAAAACAACAATATATTGGTAGTTTTTCTTGTAATTAAAATAATAAATCTTAACCTATTTATTTCAGAGCGTGATAAACGATTTGTATAGAAAATTTCACTTATCGTAATAAAATAATCTTTTCAACCTATTTAAGCTTTTGATTTTATAGTTTTAATTGCATGTTACTTTGTAGGTCATAGACAATGTACGTTGTTAGGTATAATGCCATAAAGCATTGGCAGTGTTGCCATTTCACGGAAACACAATGGCAGCACACGCCATGCATTACAACTATTTTATTTTCTCTACAGAATACTTTTAAACATATTTACTTTAATAACTAAACTATTATTGAAATTAAATTGAAATATTTAGAAAATATAGCTTACAAATTACAAGCTATGTTTTGTTTGTGTGTAAAATTCACTACATATTTTGCTACAAAGTGTATGACTGTGTCCTTATGTTATATTGCTTTAACAGACTTCGCACATGTTAAAGTGTTTAAAAAATTATTATATAGATATCTCCAGGTTTAAAAGGACGTAAATTCTACATCTGCTCTTTTGTGAACTGTAAGTCTATTTCCATTGGCATACAAAAACCTATTCTTGTCTCTGTTCTTTTTAATGAGATCGAAAGGGATAATGATGTCCCCATTAGACTAAAAGCATCCACCTTAGAACGACGTCAAACTTTATAAAATCACAAATGCCCTCCTGTTTCTTTTGTTTTCGATGGAGTTGGATGGCATGATCATCCATCAGGCAGTGACGGAACCCGGCTCAATGTCACCCTGTCACGTGTAGCCTACAGGACAGCACGCATTCTGACACAAATGTTTATTAACAAAGTCCTTCAATACATCAATCTGATATATAAATCATGCTCATACTAATATTATAAATGTGAAAGTTTGGATGGATGGATGTTTGTTAGAGTTTGTAGCCAAAAAGGCTGAACCAATCCGGATGAAATTTGGCATAGATGTAGAGGATAGTCTGGAAGAACACATAGGCTACTTTGTTTTGTTTTTATTAATACCACGAGAACAGAGTCTCGGGCGGAAGCTAGTGCGAAATAATTGCTTCACCACAATCTGGGAAACAAAATACGATCATAAACATTCCAATTTTTTACATTCCCTTTTGATTAACGCTTCGCATTTCTCTTTTGTTTTTTCGTGTTCACCAAAACTGAGCTCTGCTTCTCGATAAATAATGCTAGGGGACAGGCCATTATTTTGTTGTTAGATTTATTCATATATACTAATAAAGAACACATCTCTAACATAGAATACAAACGACAATTACATAAAGAGTAAACGATATCGTATCGTTTAATAAAAAATTTGGACTTAACTTCTTGGAAAGATTTTGGTATGTAATGAAATAACTCATAAACTACTGGGTCGATTTTAAAAATTCTTTCACCGTTAGAAAGGTAATTTATCTGTGAGTAATATAGGCTATATATTTTTTTAACTTCACGCGTAAGTTGCAACAGCTAGTTAAGTTAAAAATACTTCATGAACTATAAACAATGCTATTTTAAGACTTAACAAGGAAAATTGCCATAAACTAAATATAAAAAGAAATCCATCATTGCATAACTTATTCAGATTTTTTAGAGAATAACGGAGTAGGTTTTAATCCTGTCAACTGCTTTTTAATTTCCATTTTTAACGTTGGAAAATATCTTAAAAACTGGAATCTCTGTTCATGCTGAAGCTTAGTACCTCGCAGCGGGAGATCGAACAGAGCCTGTCATCCTCAGCGCATGGCTTAACGTCTCTTGTTTTTCAACGCTTTTTACATTTCACGTTGCATATAAAAGTGCTGTTCTCTGTTCTTTTCAAATAGGAAGAGCGAGACAATGCGTTTTTGGAAAAATTAGACACGAATATGCAATACATTTTTTAAAATAACTTGCCTTTGTACATTGTTCACCAACTTACCTGAAAAAATCGAAATTTAATATAAGTAAACATTTATTATTGTTTATCCGAAATATCCTTCCTCATTTGAATTAAGTTAAACCCTACAGTAAACGAAGTTATACACCAAAACTAATATGGGAAACAAACTCAAACTTAGATGAGATATAATATACCCGCTGACGTAATTACAACTGGAGCGGTTAACTACAAACTGTAACTACTTGTAATTGCACTAGAGGGCGCTTTTGATTGCGCTCAACTTCACGACGGCTTAACGTGCTTATAAACAAGTTAAGCGTGTTAAGAGATAGCTTAACTTTAGTAGAGGTATTGTTTAGAGCGCGCACATCTTTGAATAAACTATCCCACAACTGTAGTCTCGCTTTGATTCCTATGATATGTAGCTCACTACTCGATTTTAGTTGTCCAACTAAACTGTTTAATTGGCTACGAAACAATCGACAATCGCACGACCGTTGTGGGATAGTTTAGTCATAGGTTTGAGCCCGCTCTTAACGTAGAGTTAAGTAAATTTTGGTGTAGTTACACTCGACATTTTTTTTATATCAAAGAACTAATAACATTTCTGAAAGGTATATATAAATTAACTAAGAATTTAATAAATGTATGTAATTCATTGTGAATTAATTAATAATCTATTCTTTATTTTTATTTGTGACTGCGACGGCATATCAAATGTAAAATGGTACCAATATCCTTATAAGTTATCATATTACCTGTCAATTACAACATAACATGTTGATCTAAGCGATCTAAACAATGATAATTGAGGTTCCCAATCAATGATTTCATCAGCCTAAATACAGTTTTATTCTATTGTCTACATTTTACAAACAATAAAGAAAACTACGACAACGAAAATGACGACTGCGCGAGTTTAAAGATTATATTATTTAACTAGCTTTCGCCCGCGACTCCGTCCGCGTGGAATTAAAAAAAATAAAAGTGAGTGGCTTATGTGTTCTTCCAGACTATCCTATACATCTGTACAAAATTACATCGAAATCCGTTCAGCCGTTTAGGGTACAAACTGTAACAAACATCCATCCATCCATCCATTCATCTATCCATCTAAACTTTCGCATTTGTAATGTTAGTATGATTAGATTTTTTTTTTATTTTAAATACTATTATCTATATCTATGTTAATATTGTAAAGAGGAAAAATTTGTATTTTTGATTTTTTTACAAAAAATTTTATCATTGAGTAGTATAGGCTGTGTTTTAACTATTTTTAATTTCAAACGAGTGAAGTCGCAAGCAACAGCTAGTATGAAATAAAAACATTACTGCATACAATCTGTTAGAGGAAGTTTGAGAGTAGCCCCAGTGGTTGAGAAAATAAGGAGTAAAAGGTTAGAGGGTTAGGGCATGTTATGAGAAGGGATGAATGGCATGTAACAAGAAGGATGTTAGTTATGAATGTGGAGGGGTACATCGGTAGACCTAGAAAGAGATGGATGGATTGCGTGAAAGGTGACATGATCAAGAAGGGAGTGATGACTGAGATGACGGATGATAGAATGCTTTGGAGGATGAAAACCCGGTGCGCCGACCCTACGGGAGTAGGATAATGCAGGGGAGATGATGATGACTGCATACAATCTAGGACATAAATACACACACAAATAAAAGTAATTCACCCGCATACTTGCTCAACTTTTAGGTGATAGTTGTAAGTCATATTGCATGAAAACCTGTAAACACCTTAGAGTTATGTGTTATCAGGCTGATATTGAAAAGTAATTGAAAAAACATGATTTTCAACCAGTGTTTAGGCTTTAAAACTCACATTAAGGCGGTCTTATTTTTACAAACATTTTTTTATATTAATTGTCCGAAGTCCGCACTCACAGTAGTCGCATTACGAATAATAACAGTACGAATGTGATCATTTCGTTGAACGATCTTACAGGATTTCATAATAGTCTTAGCTGAGAGACGGACAAGCGGACAGCGGTGCTATGCCAGTTCCGACATGAAGCTAGCCGCCATCGCCTTTGTCAACGTAATTGTGCTCTCAGGTGCTATCATCGGTGATAAGGAGAAATATGGTGAGTATATTACATTTTTTAATAGATTTTCTATCAGATTCGTTCGTAATCGCGAACAATTGTTATGCTTATCTTTTCGTGAAGTCTGGAACCAACGGTCCAATTATAAGTTTAAATATCGAAATGTGTTTAGTTCTTAAAACTTCCTTCTGTAACAATGTTACAAGCTGGAATTCCTGTGTTCTTTGCTGTCATAACTGGAGCTCTTTTCAAATGTCTTGATTGGATATATTGAAGTTCAAGGTTACTCAAAGGGCAATGTTATTTGAATTTGTTAACAGTACGACGCACATTGATTTATTTGTTATTTAATTGGTTATAACTAAATATGTAATTAATAGTTCTTGCCCGCGACTCTGTCCGTTTGGAATTAAAAGAAACCAAAACTGAGTAGCCTATGTGTTCTTCCAGGCTATGCTCTACATCTATACCAAATTTCATAAAAATCCGTCCAGCTGTTTAGGCTACAAACTCTAACAAACATCCATCCATCTAAACTTTCGCATTTATATATTAGTATGATTGTAGTCCAAACAATTATTATAACATATATCTATTTGGACGTGATCTTACTTTTCTGTCCAGTTTTGGATTTTCAACTTTAAACTGCCATAGATTAAGAATTTGCACAGAATAGCAAAACTCTTAGAACAGTGACACATGTCAGGATTATGGTCCTAACCGTAATAGACTTGGAGTTTTAGATATATTTTACCTTAAATATATACCTTTTATACTGTGATTAATAACTGGTTATTGAAACAAACATAGGCTTTTAAAATGCGATTTAGAGCAATAGATAATAATCAACTTATTCCAAAATCAGTGTAGAATTGTTAATGGTGAAACATAGAATCCGACAGAGGAGGCGCACATAAAGAGGATTTTCCCCTTCCTATGCATCTCCTCCTCTGTCAAATCCATTCTCCTTCTATTCTCTCCTTATAAGAAAAGGGTGATAAAGAGAAAGGGACTTAAATTAGGCCTCCGGCACTACTCTCATCAGACGAAACACAGAATTGCTTCCATTTCACGCCTGTCTTCTGTGTGGTCGTGGTATTACACCGGGCGTGCTGGCCCTGCAGTGCTAAGATGTTAAAGCGGGCACTACCACTGTTAAAACTAATGTCTAACTAAACAGTGTATTTGTGGTAATACATTATAACGTCTAAAGGGATTGAAGTTGTATAAAGATTCGTCAAAATAATCATCATCATGTTTAACTATAGAAATCAGTTGATTATATCTACACTAAAGTTTCTCACACTTTGGGAGATCTGTTTAATAATAATATTAAGCGAATTTAAACATTTTAGATAAACCTTGTGCGTTCTTTTATAAATAGTTGGTTGTTTTAACAGAAGCCAAGTTCAATGTATCTTTATTGAAGTGGCGAACAAATTTAAACAATTGAAACTCAACACGTTGTCAATTAAAGTCAGTTGTAAAAAAGGCAGTAAAATTAAATGCCGTGTAATCATCGTTTGTTTATATGAAACTACTTGAAAAAACAATTGACTGATGTTCTTCAATTTATCTCAATATGTCTGCAATATTCCGCATTATTTGAATACTAGATATCACCAGCGACTCTGTCCGCGTGCATTTAAATAAATACTTGATTCTTGCCAGTGTTCTTCCATATACTCTTATTCGAGATTCAGTCGTTTTGGAGAAATGTAGAAACAAACATTCATCTAAACTTTTGCACTTACAACATTAGTAATAAATAAGATTAAATAATATATTGCTTAACAAATAAATATCCAATAACTACTGCGAAGTTTTAATTGTGTCCAATCGGTGATTATATTTCGCTTTGTTTATTTTGTTGCCAGTTATAAAAATTTCCACCTGGCAACATAAATAAATTAATGTTAACATTTGATTTGAATGAATAAAGAGTACGAAATCCCCGTATCCCTGAGCAATTTAGCAACGAGTGGGAACCTATAAAAAATTCACATAAAATAAATATTTATGACAACGAACACACCGTTTCATACACCGAAGAGAAACGGTTTATCGCGGTTTAAATTAAACTAGGTTTGCTCGCGTCTTCGTCCGAGCAGAAATAAAAATTGTATTAAAACTAACCTATTTAATGGTGAAAGAATTTTTGAAATCGACTTAGTAGTTTTTGAGTTATTTCGAAACGTAGTGTTGCGACGCTATTGGTGAGTAGCAGAATTCATGTCCGTGGAAAACTCGAGTCGTTTCCAGAATGTTCTATCGCAGCGATATCTGATGGCGAGTAGCGGAAAAGATGTCTGGAATGTTTTATTACAAAACGTATATATGGTTCGAACAATCGAGAATGTAGTGGAAGAAAATGACAAATGAATAACGAAAAGATCGAAATTCGGGCTATACAGGGTAGTCAGATCCGACCAGGAGTCTTACAATGGAAAGTAAACGAGGAAGAAGAAATCTGCGAGGAAAAAAAGTTCTCAATGCTAGTGACTGTGTTTGTGTGTGTTATGTAGTGCCGGATAATTGTGACAGTGCAGTGAATCCCTTTTATTGTAAGTCGCGAATAAATTAAAGAAGAATAATCAAAGTATTTTAAGTCTATTGCTACGCTCGTTAGAATATAAAAATACTAATCTTTTCTCTTTATTAGTATTGATTAGCTTTCCACCCGCGTAAGCATTTTTGAATATTGTTTAAAACAATATTTGATTACGTCGTATAACATATGATTTCCTAGTACTTTTAAAAAGATAAAAGGCGGTAGAAGATGTGCAGTATCTAGAAGAGATGATGTATAGCTAGATATCTCCTACATTATGTGTCCTAGTTTATCATATTTTAAAGTGTAAAAACATATTTTTTATATTCGTACTCCGTCACAGTTCAGAGTTAATGAAATTTTTCTGAACGTTTTGTCCGTAGAGTTTCAATTTGAATAAAATTCCATCGCTATTATTAAAAATGTTTTTATAAGATTAACATTTTTCACTCACTAAAAGGAAATAGCGTTCTTGAGAATTTCGTTTTTTTAAACAACGCCATTTCTTTACAGAGACAGTGCTCAAGGGACGGCATTTATAATACTGACTGAAAAATTGTCTCCTTACGCAAGATTTATGAAATAAATGAAAAATTCTCAATAACTATTCAATTTCTTGAATCCCATTTTCTAGATTATTTATTTAATCGTTCGACGTTGATTCAAATTATACAGATTTAAAAAAAATAACGAAGACAAGTCACGTCAGCCAGTATTTATAGTTTTAACCTGGTCTTCTGTTACCATCATCACCAGCTCACTATACGCCACACTGGCTAGGAGATCTACCATAAGTTAAGGATTACTAGGCCATAGTCAAACACATGGGCCAAGTGCGGGTTTTACTCTAATAACTAGGGCATATTGTAAACATCTCTTATTTCGTATTCCAGACCGGTTCATAATAGCGTGCCATACGACTGACTTCGAGTGCTTCAAGCGACAGTACAGATCACTACGAGACACCGTACTCTTGGGCAGTCTGCACTTCGCTATCGACTTCTACAAGCCGTATCTCTTCCGCTACGGTGATAGCGGCACCTGCATCAAGCTGTCCGGACTCGAAGAGAGCGAACTCGTTGGCATCAGGTACATAATAACATCACCTTCCTAGCGCGAGTAGCCTGTGTAGCATTGCTAGGACGATGAACGGCAACGAAGTAAGATAGAGATGGTTGTTTTAAAAAAGAACATTACTAAAGTACAAATGTAGTGCTATTTGTTCTAAAAGAGGGTGTAACACTGTCCATTCGTGTTCTCTTCTTCACTGGATCAGGGCAACAGAATCCTTATAAAGCCATCGAAATGGTAGTAAAACATTTTAAACACAATCATAGTCTCATTAAAGATTTAACTACGTGTGCTTTATTAAAATCTGTTGTAACAAATTGTTAAGATATACGCTAACATTCAATTGACTAACACAACAATAAAATACAACAAGCAAGGTCTAAGAGAACAAGCAATAAAATATAGCAAACGCAAAGGCGGGAAAACCGCAACCAACATATGAACAATGTTAACCTTGTTGAAACTTTTGCGGCGGAAATCTCGAGGGAAAACACTCCATTGACCTATTTAAACGACTGTTAAATAATAAACAGTTACAAAAAGACAAAAACAAATGTTGTTTCATTAACTTAAATGAATTAAGCATTGTTTAATTCCAATTAAGGATGAACCAATACACAAGTTTAGTATCCACATCTGATATTATATCACTTTTTTTATTATATGAATTCACCCACACATATCAAGATCAGTTCTGTTATGTTGTCAGCATGGACAGCGACAGCAAGGAGTACCTGCTGACGCTGGAGTTGCCGCTGCGAATCCAGCAGACCACCAACAAGACGGAGATCTGCATGAAACCTGACGTTGGTATGTCATAATCTACCCAGAGTACAACATCCTAGATCCTCCATGTGAGAGGTACAAATATGAACGAAGGATGTTTTTTCGCGTCTACTTCCTTGATCTTTGCCAAAGTTAATCCATGGCCGAAATCAATATCAATATTTGAATTTCTTTAAATTTAAGAAACGGAGTATAAAAATTATTCGATTGATAGATCATGATTTTCTATTGCTTAAGGCCAAAAATATAAGAAAGAGTATTTAAGATTGAATATTGACTTTAAACGTCTAAGTTTGTCTTTAGCGGTGTAAAATTATAATTTACTTGAAAATAGTTTGGTCATTTACGATGTTTTTAATAACAAAATCGCGTGACAGTTTCCTATATGGAGTGAAATAAGCTTAGGATATTAAAAGTATTATATCAGTCAATATAATTGGGTCACACCGTCGATTGTGACGCAATGTTTTAAACGCATTCTGACACGAAACAGAAGTGGTAGAAATAGTTTTAGAGATCTTTTGATAAATTCACTTTTCTAATTTGGGTTCTTCTTTCATGTCGTGGTAATATTATGAGTTCTCTAAGAATCGGAATATAGGACAGCTACTGGCGCAAAGCGTACACATAAGCCAGTAAAAGGTACACAAGACAGTACGCGTGACGTGACATGTCAAGCGTTGAACCCTCCCCCCGGCCCTTCTCTTACCTTCATGCACGTATCTGTCACAAAAACCAAATGTCTAGTTACTAGCAAGTGTGTCAGCTACCCTGTTTAACCCACTCTAAATCATAATGTTTTCTCGTCTATTCCATAAACCTAAGATATCTAGAGAAACAGTGTGTGAGAAGGTTTTTTTTATTCTGTGTACGGAATTCAAACAGTTTACAATCAAAGTTAACGGTATCAGAATGTTTTAGTGTAAAATATTTTATATAGCTTCCTGTGTTACATTTCGGTATTTAATATAATTCGCTTTTACAAGCTGTGTGTCGTTAACATGTCACACGAATAAGAATTTATAGCCTGAGTAGTAAATAGTTTTATGTCCAGAACGAAATACATTTTTTTATGGTAATACTAAAACGATTGTTAAATAATCTTAACTATTTTAGTTATAATAAAATTGGACATTAAAAAAATAGAAGTTACAGTCTACTTGGAAAATTTAAAAATATTTAAATTGGTTAAAAGAAAGAAAGAAAGGAAGGTTCTTTCTTTCTTTCAAAAATATTCAAATTGGTCGAAAGAAAGAAAGAAAGGAAGGTTCTTTCTTTCTTTCAAAAATATTCAAATTTGTTGAAAGAAAGAAAGAAAGGAAGGTTCTTTCTTTTTAATTCGGTTGGTTTATAATTGTAAATTTGTTTCAGAATTTAAAAATGTTGGACCTCACATCGGTAAGTCCTATGGTTATTATTTAATATTCAAAGTGTTTTACAAGCTTAAAACATTACTAAAACTATCAGCATAATCGGTTTTAAGCAATTTATCCGCAAACCCTTTTAGTACCTTTATAGTAAATCAAATATTCAAGGAATACCCAAAGGTCCCTCGGGCTATCGCAGCGTCGGAATCCGTCAAAATGTTAAGTTATCGGGAACCCATCCGGAGGCTTCGGATATAAAACGCCAATCATCCTTCACAAACGTATTTCAAATATTTATACCCGTTTTTTATTATTTCAGGTCCGTATCGAAGCTTTAACGGAAACGGTGGGTTTATTTTGCTAAAATTAATTTCTTGTCGATAGTTTAAAAACAAGGAAAATTGTTGCTAAATTATATAACTTTTTTATTTAAAAATTATTAACAGCGGTAGAGCCTACTTTAACATCTTTGCATAAATAGGCGGCTTTCTCGGTGCAATTCCACGACCACACAAAATACAGACGTTAAGTGGAAGCAACTTGCGTTTCTTCGCGATTTTAGTTCTCTTTTCCACTCTTCGTTCAATGAAAGGATGGGAAGGGAATTTAGAGTTGGTTAGGGACATAGACTAGATATTGGCGAAAGGTCGTTTGGCGAAAATCGCCAGTTGCATTTTTGTCACCTTTAAATATAAAAAGAATAATAATATAAAAGGCGCTCTCTCGTCGGAGACCTAGACCCACTTCGGGTCGCTGCGCCAACGCAGTAAGTGTAATATAAAAAAACCCTCCAAAATCATAATGTTTTCCACAGTTGGATATACAGCAGAAACCCGTAGATTAAGAAGCCATTTCCTTGATATACGATACCTAATTTCCATTAAAGCATATATTAGTTTGATTTACGATAATAGCTTGTAATTACCACAGTAGTCCCACTTAGAGCCTCGCACCCTCTCAATGCCACCCGGCTAATTGATCCGTATCTCGCGCGAAAGCCTCTTGATACCGGAAGTGGCCTTTGTCCGAGATGTCCTCCACACGGATACCCGGGTGTAACCGACCCTTCACGGATAAGACGCCATTGTTCTATGTATTGAACTTTTTATGGACTTTTTTTTGCAAGATTAAAAAAACAAGAGTGGTATTGTGTATTTACCTTTGTGTGGGAGGCGCTATGTAAAAAATAATTCTAGCCCTTCACTTAGTACCGGACTGAGAAAATCAAAGTTGATTTATAAAATCACGAAACAAAGTAACTGAATTACTAGAACGCAGTTTTTGTATAAAAATAAATCTATTAAATATTACAGCAACAATAAAAGCCACATTCCCTTACGAGCTTCGAAAAAGAAAAGGCGACATGTATTTGTTGCTTAAAGAAGAAGACCTGGACGTTATCTTAGACATACCGGACCTGAGGCCGCCTATCAGATTGATGTCCAACGAAGGTCAGCTCTACAACTCTGTAGTTTTTAACTCTTCATCAAATGTATACAATACAATACTAATTTTATTTATTTGCGGGTACCTTTGACTAAACATAGCACAATTGTTGTGCGATTGTCGATTGTTTCGAAGCCAATTCAACTGTAAAGTTGCACAACTAAAAATCAGTTAGGAATCAAACGAGACTAAACAGTTGTACAATAGTTTAGTCAAAGGTGTGCGGGCGCTCTTAAGAAATACGACCGACTATTAATCGATTTAACTGCATGAACACAATAATTTAAAAGGCTATAGAACAAAGACAGCTTTAAGCAGTCAATAGCGACATTTTAAAGCAGTTATTAAATCTACAGTTACATAAACAAGAACATTGTAACAGCGACAACTTGCAGTCTTTACTTAGCAGCAGATTTGCATATCGTATTGTGTTGCCAGGTGGCAGCGGTTACGAGATATCAGAGTGGGCATACGAGGTGGTAGAACATATCGACGCGGCGCGCCACTTCGCGCTGCCCTACACCACCAACATACGACTCTTCTCCTCAACAGTTCCTGTACACAAGTATGTACAATTCATAATAAACCAGTTGTTACACGAAAGAGAAACCATCATATATCTGTCCTTATCCCACTCAAGCATAATGGTGAAACTTACAAATCAAACTAAGAACGCGGACCTTTGACTAAATTATAACAATGTGATTGTCGATTGTTTGGCAGCCAATTCAACTGATTAGTTGCAAAACTATAACTCAAGTAGTGTGCACCTCCTTATAAACTCATAGAATTCAAAGCGGCACTAAACAGTTGTGCGATATATTAGTCAAAGCGCTCTCTAAAGGTATACCCCTCTACATTCATAGTAGATTATAAATTAAGCCTATTAAAGCTTGTTTTTAATGTATGAAAGCCTATTTTCTATTAGCAATATTAGCGTTTCCTAAAGTTATTAGATTTATTCTCTTTTATAACACCAAATTCATAGCTCAGCGCTACAATTCCAGTCAGATTTACGCAATGACCTAGAACTACAGTTACTGGAATGGAATTCTGTTTCATTTCGGTGCCAATTAAGGCGCAGGCCACACAACGGGGCCGTGGGTAAAGCGTAGCAGGTGTTCAAATGTCAACTGAACAGTTTTAGATTTAGACAGAACAATATCGTTTGGTTGTTTTAAATCCATATTCGACGTCGTTAAATGAAGTAAGTTATGACGCTATGTTTAGTTCAAAGAAACTAGATATCGTTTGTAATCTATTAAAATGAAGTATGACCAAATTTTATTTAAACTAAATTGTCCTGTCCAAACATATAAAAACGTTAATTATGAAACTAAAACTATGAATTTAATTGAAAAGAATTAAAGTTTAACTAATTACATTTAAACTTTTCAAATAAAAATAACGAAATACGCAATAAATCTGTACGTAAATTGCCTAAAACTTTGTTACCAAACATGTCACCAGGAGGCGTTGGTTAAAAATTGAATGGGCCACTGATTGCGCGCGGTATGAAGTCGACCTGACGAACCATTTAGGCTCCAATTGTAACCCTAACCCACTACGACCGTCCCCCCCCCCTCTTCTCTCGCCAATGTCACTACAATATTACCTGTCTATGTACTAAATTGCTAGTATACATGCTTAGTAAAACTTTCAGTGTTTTTAAAATAAAAAAGGACTCGCTGTCGCTGGCTCTTGGGTTATTATGATCAACAATGCGGTTATATGTTTCACCATAAGGGCGGCCGTACACCTTTGACTAAACTCGCACAACTGTGTGTGATTGTTGATTGTTTCGCAGCCAAATCAAACTGTTTCTTTGCAGAACTATAAACCAAATAGTGTGCGCATTTCTATATAACCTCATAGGAATCAAAGCGCAACTAAATGGTCGTGCGATAGTTAAGTCGGTATAAGTACTTTGTTATTTAGGTCTAATTCACAATATGGATAATATTTCAATAACCATTATATGTCAAAAATCCACACAGAGCTTTTATCACGGTAATAAATGATAGACGTATATTTAACCTAAAACTTTTCGTGTAAATTTTAAATTAATTTTAAAGTAGTACCATCCTTAGGTGTCGTTTGTTTACCAACTTGAAAATATTTAAAAACTAACCATCCCTACACAAAGTACTAGGAAATCATAAAAAGCAGGAACAAATTAATGTTCCGCGAAACGAAAACAAAGGATATGTCTCTTTGTAAATAAATTTTGCGCAACCGTACTTTTTGTTTTTGGAAACGGCACTTGAAAAATACACCTGGTTGAAAGGGAATATGTTTCCTACTGCAGATGAATACTGACTTTGCGCACTTACGTTTAAGTCTATTTTTGGTTGAGGTTATATTTTAATAATTCTTCGTTTATTTTCGTATATTTTGTGCGGCGTGAAGTCAAAACGTACAGGATGTGTGCTGTAGCGAGCCGACTATGACCCAACATTTCTCATTTAGACGACTACGTTCACTCCGTTGGTATCAACACGTAGGACTTTTATTTGATGTAACTAAAAAAGACAAATATTAAAAAGGGAAAACATACATTCAATGGTATATAGTCTGTATCTTTAAGAGAAAAAGAATAAACAATAGTGATTTCCTGGTGACAAGTAAAGTAACAATTTTAAAACAATATGAACAATCAGTACATTATTTTCTGAAATTAATAGTATCACAATATTGAAATAAAGCAATATTAAAAGAGGAATTTTTCTACTACTCCTAAAAGTTGAAAAAAATCATTTTCGTATCAAACTAATCAATCATTATGTAATCTCAAATCTGTAACATCCACAACTAATTTTAAAATAACATCCTAGCTTTTACAATATTTATATTAACTCTACACACGACCTCGGTTCCCGTCACTTAAAAACAAACATTCCCAACCATCTGTGAATGTTTTGCAAAACTCACCGCAACCGGGAAAATAATCCTTGCTTTTAATTTAAAAAATACTAGCTTTTGCCCACGACACTGTCCGCGTCAAATTTAAAAATAATGTAAAAGAAGTGAGAAAATAAAGCCTATGTTACTCACAGATAAATTACCTTTTTAACGGTTAAAGAGTTTTTAAAATCGGCCCAGTAGTTTTTGAGCCTATTTATTACAATCAAACCAATAAAGTTTTCCTCTTTATAATATTAGCATAGTTAGATCTATAATTACGACATTCCTATCTTTAGTAGGAAATAGAGATGCAAGGGTCCAGTCAATTGCATAAAGTAATTAAGTAATGACTGTGAGAGGTGTTCGGTTAATCCTACGTGAATTCCACTAGCGAAATATTTAATTACCACTAAGGGTCGCATGGAACTCTTACGACCGCTACTAATGCTGCCACAAGAAGGGAGCAAAGGCGATTTGTGGCGGCCACTGGCCTGTGTTGCTAATCCTTAGAAATGTATGAAAACATTAGAAAATATGCCGATGGCACTATGTTTCTGAGTGCCTTATGATTCTGAGTGTGATGTTTTAACTATTTATATGAATTTCAGATACCTTTTGCTATATCCGGAAGAAGAATACGCAGATTTGAAGTTCGCATTCTACGATTCCGATTAATAAAACTTAGTTATAATCAATATTGTTTTAATTATCGTTTAAGTTTCGTTTCTTTCCTTTGTAATCCTTTACTGAAATTTTCGATCTTTCAAATCACAAAGAGATTGTCAACAAATCTGAAAATAGTCTAATTTTTAGATAAAGTTTAAAGAAAACAAGCGTATTTTTTATAAATACGTACTCTATCTTAAGTTGACTCAATGTTGGAAGTTATTAATATTTCAAATCTGGTAACTTAAAATTACATTTTAAATATCACTTTTCACTTTGGCAAATAGAGTTCGCAATATTTCACATACAAGTAAGTTATGGATAATGTTTAAAACGAGTCGGAACTTATATAAGTTATTTAAAAATATGTTTTAATAACTTACATTAAGTAAAACGTATAAAAAATCTCGCTTTTTGCAGTATGTTAAGGGCGCCCTTTAGTGTTTACTTTATTCATACACGTAACGAGACAAGTCGTTTGAGCCGAGAGAAGAAAAACTGAGTTCCCTTTTAGAAGTAAAAGTACATTTTATTTTATAATAATCACATGTAAGCTTTGAAAAGCGTTGGGATAGGCCTATGTCCAGAAGCGGGCAGGGACAAGCTGACAAAGATAAATTTCGATATTGTTCGAGTATTGTTTCTCTTTACTTTTTACTTTATTTAATATTTGAACGTTAAAGCTAAATTACTTACTGTGAAGAGCGCAATTAAATTACCTTATTAACCCCCAGCCCCCGCCCTCGGGGCGGTTGCCTTTAAAAATAATTAATTACCGCCTTCCCGCCTCACGCCGGTAATTCACTCGGCCACCGACAAAAACTTGCCGAGTTTCTTACACGTAAACTATACGTTATAGTAATCAACGATAGCGGGTAGCGGAAGCGGATAGATTTTCACTACATATAAATAAAAAATAATCTGTCGATATAGTAATTTGTATGTAGTTTGGAATAAAATTTGTTAAATATTTCTTTAAAATGTTAGGCACTGACAACAGTATGCACAAAATTTATACTTAAAACAGAACGGTTGTGGGTTCGAATCAACCATTGTAGCATTGCTGTAAAGTGGTTAATAAATTATATAACCCGCTTTCTAGAAACACTATACGCTGTACCTTAGGGCGAAGCGCGTCGGTTAACTACGGAGTTAAAAAACCTAAAGTACCCGTGAAATATTAAAAACCTAAGCTAACAATTTCTCTTGCCTTTTCAAAAACAATACCGGCTATATGAAAAACTTTTAAAACACATGTCCCTCGAAATTCACTTTATACTGGCTGGTTAGCAGTAATCAGATTTGTAACCAATTAAAAAAAAGACTGGGAATAATACCCAAGGCAAACAGTCAAGTACTATAAACAATAAGCTACAAGATCCTGCCCTCATAATTACAGTCAACAACAAAACTGAATTGCACGTTTATGAAGTTGAGAACGGCTTACAAGAAATTTCAGTACATAAATAAGGTTAAATGAGGTCTTTAGCAGACACGCTGAATTCCGTTCATTAGGCCGGAGCAAGCCTTTTAACTGCCTCAAGGAAAGGCTCCCGGGCCAGAGGGGCATTATAGACCACTTTATGCCAAGTAATGACCAAGTTAGAAGCGAACTGAATCACAGATAATTTAACCTTGTTTTAAAACAACAGGGTCAACTAAATAAATATTTACGTTAGCAATAACTTTTTTAAAACCAAGTAAACAAAGATTACATAGTTATTTTCACTAACGATTCCTTAAAAGTAGTGATCGCTTTTTTTTTCACTTTCAGGTATTACCTAAGTTCACGATTTTGCTTTTGATTTAGAGACAACGATTTAAAAAGTACTTTAAGGGCTGGTGAAAAAGGCCATTTGTCTTCTATCTTAAAATCGCTTATCGCTAGTAACTTGCACCAATCGCCTTTCTAAGTTCAGAGTATTTCGCAAAAGCGTCCTTTATGAATGGTGCAGTAATTCTCATCGTAGACCGTCATTGTGACGATTTTACGACACAACTCGAAGTTGTGATAAAATGGAGTGGGACTTGGGAATTCTATGATCTACGTTTTACGTTCTTCTTGGTGAAGATTTTAGTAGAACTCTTACAGGCTGAAGAGCGTTTTTATGATGTTGAAGGATGATAAAACGGGATAAATACGTGACCTTCCTATAGGAACAACTGACAGCTGTTTAATTGAACAGTTACCTACATGTAGGATATGACAGCACGTACGAGTAGTCTTGGAATAAAGTGTGACTGCTGCTGAATTCAACGCCTTTAAAAAACGTAGATTACTTTGACTAACAAATTGTAACTATGCAATTTCACTGCCTGAAACATGTTCAGATAAGATTCTTTCTTTAGCAGTATTAGTTTAAGTATCGTTACAGTAGCCTCCCTTAGTGACCAATTAACGAATACAACTTAAGATAACTATAAAGTTTGCCAAAGTGCTGTGTATTATCTTACGAGTATGAACATTAAATTCACACGAGGGCAGTAAACTGAGCGTGACGTGTGTCTATGACGTCACTGAGAAGTTTGCGTATGCAACAAGTCCCTGCCCTAGCTGATACTGTCTCAGCTGCAACATAAAAACTTAGTATTGATATAAAAAATATCCACTAATAAAAACAAATTAATACATCAATATTTACCAATACTCTTACTTATTATTTTCTACTAACATTATAAATGCGAAAATTTAGATGATTGATAAATGTTTGTTAGATTTCGTAGCCTAAACTGCTAAACATATTTCGATAAAATTTGCCACAGATGTAGAACATAATCTAGAAGAACACATAGGCTACTTGCTTTTGTTTCCTTTTTTTAATTTTTCGAGGACGGACTCGCGGACGAAAGCTACTCTTTACATATATGATTAACAAGTTTGTGTGTCTATTTGATGTCCGACAACTGATCAAAGCATTAATTCCATTAACGTAAAAGATCAGAGATAAAGGATCAATTGATAGCAGACCAGTACGGGCAGAGCGCCAGCGGTATTATCGGTCGCAATATCCGACGACCGGAGACCTAATCGCTAACAGATTAAACGGCCAAAATCAAGATTCAATCCTAGAGATAGACCTAAAAATTGTAAACGGATTATAATAAAATTCGACGAACTTAATTATAACGTATTGCTTTTTTTAAACACAATTAAGATCTTTACCAATAGCAAATAAAAAATAATTAATGATTAAGCAGAGATTGAAGCATTGAATAAGTTAAAACGAATCGAGATTAAACGGCCAACGGCTAACTCCGAACTCCACTGACCCGTCAGTAGGGATATCTCAGGATCGCTACACCTAATGGAATTTAGATGTACCGCGAGATCTTTTGAGGTCGAGATCACAGCAAGATTAGAAGAAGCCTGAGTACGTTATCAAAATGATTTAAACATTATATCTAGATTTACTCGTGAAAGAAATACACAAAGATGTGAACAATTTTATTATAATAGCATATATATTTAGTAAGATCACGTTCGCTTTTAGAGCTGCATTGTCAAGAATGGAACTGAACAAATAAACTTCGAAAGATGACACTTTAAAAAGTAACATTTTAATAATGTAATGTTACCGTTAAGTCGTCAGCTAAATTAACACAGAGTTTAATGTTTTGAAGTTACCGACATCAACTTCAAGTGGAACAGATAATGCAGACTTAAGATAGTTTAATGTGATAATCGTCAGCAAGTTTCCAGTAACTTAAATATTCAAACGTTGAATTTAAAGTTATAAATATTTCATAATATAATACAAAACAATACTATTACGTTTCATAAAACGTTTTATACGCAACAAACAATTCTTGCTTTTAACTTTTTTACATTTTAACTATAGAGAGGGCTTTACAAATGTCCATTGTAGAATTCTACCTGCGAACTCACCCCATCCTCCCCTCGAGGAAGTAACTAATTACAGCATTGGAGAGGCGAGCAAATTAGCTATTTGTGTAGCGTTTCATAAACACTTTGAATTGTTCTGTCTTCATAGAGTAATCAATTAGCGAGGAAAGCGCCCTCTACAGATATTGAGAAAGAAAACAAACGCACGTTTGTTGTGTCTATTTATTTTTGTTGCTGAAAGATTTTTCTGCAATAACTATCGATGTTATAAAACTGAATTATTATGTTGTTTTAATAAAAATGGTAAATTTAGTATACACTTGTTCTAGTAATGCAGAGTTTTCATTGATGTTGGGCCTGCGCTAGACTTTAGGATATTTGCTAGTCGTCGGCCTACTGGTCGGAAATTGCGGCCCACTCCCCGGGGTCCGGGATCCGGAGGCGAGGAGGTCAGCGCAAGCGGTCCGTCTGTTTATTCAATATCATATTGTGTTTGTACTGCATAACTAGCTTCATATCTGTAACAAGGCTAACTAATTAATCTTCTACGTAAATAAATGGGATAAGAAATATAACAACACTGTAACAACGGGCCTTTGATTGTTGATTATTTCGTAGCCAATTCAACTGTTTAGTTGCCCAACTAAAAATCAAGTAGGGTGTGGAATTAAGCCAAGACTAAAAGTGTGCGATAGTTTAGTCAAAGATGTTCTTATATTTTAACTACTCATGTGTGAATGTCTGTCAATGGTATACATTTACAAGTTATTTATTCGTCTGTTTAACAATTAACGACCACCTAAGGGTCTGCTACCTGGACCCCGTACGGGAGCGTTTGGACCCGCGCCAACTAATTACTTGAATCTGTTCAGAACAGATACTTTGTTTGTGTTTTGTTACTGTGAACAGTCCACTTTACGTGCAACATTTTAGTTGTATTTCTTTATTTCAAAAGAACTACAATGTTTATGTTACAATTACTTTAACTTACCGTCATTTTTAATCAATAATTTTATTGTAAATTTGTTATTAAATGGATACAAATACGAAGAGGGACTAAACAATTACATGGTACCTAGACTAAATTTCGTGAAAGGCCCACCTGAATTACAATATAATATAACGCAATCCTCGTGCCCTCTTTACGCTGTTAGCGCAACCCTCATGGCAGTATGTTTACCCAT